CCGTCCGTTTGCCCCACTCTGACGAGTGCCGCGCGCATAATCCCACCAAGACTCCTGGTCAGTTAAGGGGGGATTGTGGCAATAAAACAACCGTGCCTGGACGAAAACAGGCAGTTCAGATCCTGAACTCGAAGAGCTCCAGCTCCAGCCCTGAGGACCACCCCGAGGACCTGACACCGACCCAGAGACCGCCATCCGAACCGAAGGAGTTAGCCACCAGGAGCAGCGACCCGGAATAAGTAAGCAAATTGTATTTCCTGATCTTTACTTGTCCTGATATTGGTATAAGTCCTGCCGAGTTTTGAACTCTATTTTGAACTAAGTGCTGTCCGGTGCGGCGGCGGCGTTATCAGGCGGAGGTTGACTGTGCATAACATCGCCTTCGTTTTGAGGAACGTAGCTAGGGCACATTAACTGAAACCGCTGGTTGACTGTGCATAACATCGCCAGTGGAAGACGTTAGGTGCTGGCCAAACCGTGACAGATAGACCCAGGAAGTTGGCTGTGCATAACACCGCTTTCAGGAGACATCTGTCGTATACAGTACGTGGTGCGGCAGCGGCGTTGTCTGGCGGCGGGTTGACTGTGCATAACATCGCCCTCGTTTTGACGAACGTTGCGGGGTACCTTGACTGAAACTGCTGGTTGACTGTGCATAACATCGCCAGCGGAAGACGTTAAGTGCCAGCCGTACCGACGGATAGACCCAGGGAGTTGGCTGTGCATAACACCGCTTCCAGGAGAAATCTGTCACCGGCCGCGCGTCCGAACGTGCACTCGAATAGACTTTGCCTCCCGTCACCCAAACTATTCCTGTACCTGATCACCGTTTGCTTATTTATGCCATTTGTGTATTGCTTGCTTCGCTTCCTCCTTGGCTGGTATTAACTCCGCATATTTCCGTTGCATTTGCTAGAAACCGCCGACGATATTTATTTGTAGCATTAGAGTAGCCCGTAATCTATTTTTCTTTGTTTCAGAGCCATTTGGAATCGGCATATTTGTTGATTATTTATTACTCTGATTTGCTAACTGTGTTTTTCTTTCTAGCACCGACCGAAATTAAAACCGAATACCGTTGGCGTACCGTTTCTTATAGTATTAGATTGTTTATTGTAAAAATAAACTAACCGCCTAATACTGCATTTGCCTACCATACCGATTTTTGTGTCCTGACCACCGATATTTTAGTATGTTCTAATTTTGTAATTCTTTACAGCGCCGGAAAACCGAATAGGCATTTTTAATCCCGTGATATATAATTGCTCTAACCAATTCTATTTTTATTCCCACCGTTTGTACATTATTTGTACATTTCTAATTTTAGTTGTTTATAATAACTGTAATAAGAATCTGTTTTACTTTTGTTTGTTTGTTTCAAGTTCAATAGGCCTGATTAATAAATCTAGTAAATATAATTCCCGTTTGTATTCATTCTTAACACCGATAAGATTGATAAATTCCGCTCAGTAAAAAGTCGCACTATCTTTTTGTGACCTACACTGATAAGACCGTTTATTTTGAAAGGAAAATAACACTACACTCAGAGAACTACTTTGCTTGAAATTAAGAGAAATATAACAGACCCCTGGAATTAAACTTTCTTCACTGCAGCTATCCCGAGTACTTACTCTAAACCGAGGGTAGGTTTCACGTGGAGTTTCCCCCACGTAACCGATTGGGAAACTGGCGCCCGAGACAAAAACCGAACAAAAAGATTCAATCCGGAGTACGTTCCTGTGACGTCACTCACCACCGCCGGCTGCCAACCACCGCTGCCGATAAACTAGTAGTCAAGGGTCGTCATAAAGTAGGCGTCCAAATAGGGACGTCAGTGACGTCAATAAATCTAGTAAATTAAAATTTGCAATTGTGAATTAAGATTCCGTTTAGAGTTGGTAGTATACCGGGGGCAGCCACAAGTAACGTCTGAACCGAACCGTCACCACCGCAAAATCAAAACCAAGTAAAGTATATAAAGGGTGTTACAAAAATTTGGCAACCGAGCAAAGTACGTTACAACGCATTCGATGTTTCGAAAACATTCATCATCAAAGATATTTTAATAGCAATCTATGTCAACTAGTTGATATGATAGTTGACTTTAATATTTCTTTGAACAGATATAAAACCTCTGTGAGGAAGTGTATAATTTCTTATAGGTAATTTTTTTGTCTTTTTTTTGTATTCTCACATTAGTTAGATTATGTTTATATTGTACTTCAGTACCTTGTTTTTTGTTATTTGTTTAGTGTTACCCTTTTATTGGGATTTTTAATACTGTTGGGTTTCCTACTTCTTAAATAAATAAATAAATAAATAAATAAATAAATAAATAAAGCACTTAATATACAAGGTGTAACTTTAAGTGGAGGTCAGTTTTTTAGGGGTAGTAGTACTTGTTTTCCTGAATACAAATCTAAAGTTCTTTTTTTTAATTAAATAAATAGTCGAGTTATAATTAGTTTTTTAAAATGTACTTTAATACACCACTGTATTATCACGTATTACAAATACATATGAATTGTAGGCAACCTACAGTACATGTAAAGGGAAATATTGCGGGTCAACGGGGACGAAGCGAAGTCAATTGTTGTTCCGCATTCGGAGACAGTACATCTAACTGTGAATTTGAATGTTTTTCATCGCTGGAAGCCATCATCAACATCCCTGGTAGCAAAATCTTGCACAAGACACTTATACAAGACTGCTGTGTACCTACTGTTGAAATCAGCAACAGGTTTACTGCAAGATTCATTGTGCAATTGTCTTGATCAAAGCTTTCAATGGATTTGATTCAGGGCACTTGAGCACAAAGGGGTAAATTAAAGCAAGTGACTATGTTGCAGATTTACATTAGAATTAAGTAAGACATATTGTACTTGACTTATACTAATTCACCCCTTTGGACTCTAGTAATTTTGATTAAGTCTGGTGCAAGTATTGTAAAAGTATCTTGCATAAGAAACGATATAAATTTCAGCAATAGACACAAAACAATCTGACACAATTTGGCTATTTAAAGTAAACTTGAAACAACTTGTATTAGAATTGCACACGATTGTGCTACCAGGGATACTATTTATTTTTGTGTATTTCATTTATCATTATTGATTATTATTGCTTGAGTTTTTTGCAAGGTTAATTGTTTGTGTGGCGAACACCCACTCAACAAAAGTAACTCGCCGCGAATGGTGTGGAATTGTGCTTGCGCTGCGACTAAAGCGCGCCATTATTTGAGGTTACACCAGCTTCTCCAGCGATGGGGTACGAAAATTACTAAAATAAAGTTAAAACAAAGTTTTTGCGACGGAATTTGAAAAAATAAACTATTGAAACATGTTTCTAAAGTTAAAATAAAGCCTCTGTATAAATATGGCCCCCACTCAAAGTTGCACTCTGTATTCAGGGTGATTCAGTCATAATGTCATTAATGTTAAGGGAAGATAGGGAAACATTAGTAGAATACGATTACGCGATTAAAAAAATTAAAAATGCATATTTACCTTGAAAAAAAATGTCAAATCATTATTTAAACCTTTTTGCGGACCACTCCTGGCCGCTGACCCACAAAGGTTTATCGAGAGTGAATCTTGATCTACCTACCATATTATTCGGTCACTAACCTAGTTTTTACTAACGACAAGGAATAAACAGATCTTTTTACCTAGAAACATGATTAAATAAGATATTTTTTTATATTTTAAATACTAACAAGCATTATTTATTTGTTAATAAAAACAAATATACAAAGATAATAAAACAGGCAGGCAAAATTTGGCCAACTCTCTAACCCAGGAACCAGGATATACTTTTCCTAAGGATTTAGATGCGCTGAATACGAATCCGAGGTCCAAATTTCTCAATTTGCTCAGGCTTTCGAGATATCGTAACCTAAAAGTGCCAAAATTCGTGATTTTTTGACATATCCGAGGTTGTATTACATGGAAAGGTAAATTTTTTGCTGAAATCATTAACGGGGTCTTAAAGTACTATACTTACTTTTTAAAACGTACATGGATTTATCCCGATATAATTTTTCGTCTTGACTTTTTTCTCGATTTTTCTGGAGAAATTTAGACATCGCCTTCGAATTTAGCAGACCAAAATCTTTTGAGAAAGTGTATTCATATTGTTGGGTTAAAATCTTGTCGGTCTGTATAATTGTTCTCGAATGTTCGGTTATTACAATTGCTTATTTTTTAAAAGATCGAGTAAATTTTTTTTTTCGATTTTCTGTCTTTATTAGGCCTTCCGAATACGTGATTAATATTAATAACATTATAATTGAATCACCCTATCTATAATATGTATGTACCTGGAGATGGAAACAAGGATATTCTCACTGCTTTAAAAATCTAGAGGTGAAAATGTATGGTTTTCTTAATTAAAATAGTAAGGCCCGGTACTTTGAGTCTCGGTTAAGGCTTGATTAATTAATCAGGCGGTTAGACTGTGATTATCCTTTATAAAATAAATGAGTAGGTATATGTACAGTCTAATCGACCGATCAGTTAATCAAGCTTTAATCGAGACTCAAAGTACCGGGCCTAAATCAACTAAAGTATAAACCTTCTTTGCAATTACATATTTAAATATTTTATCTAATGATACTGTTGTGGGAAACAACTATTCTGGAGACTACAAGCCCCGTCCAGCACTGGATTACACTGCTAATATCAAGCAACGACCTAATATCATCCGTCAGCAGAACCACCAGACACATAAAGCATTCGAACTTACTAGTTCTTATCATTGGTGAGAACTATTTAGCTGATTGGATGTCTACTTACTGGCATGTTTTGAAACCGGTTTGTATGGTGATTTTGCTGAAGAGTGATCTTAGCTGTTAACTAGATATTGGAGGTGTAATTCAATTTTTGACAGCGCATTCAGTCCGCAGAGTAGTTATTACGTACAATATCATCAGTTAAAATGTTTAGCATTGTGTGAAACTAATAATAATAATAATAATACTTTCGTTTTTATTCTTCTTTTAGATATATTAAGAATAGTTCTTGCAACATATGACCTACAACCCTCCAGACTTGTTCCAATTGACATGAATATACCAAATATTTTAATACGCAGTTCCGTTGGAAGACAAATAAAAACTCAGTATTTTGGAAGTCGGTTGATAGCCACATCGAATTTCGAAGTTATGGAAGTAAGTTTATAACAAAAAGATGTTATTTATGGTTATTTATTAATTATTTCAGTTCATCAGCAACGACCAGTTTGCTAGGCCAATACAAGAAACGGCGCGTCTCTATTCAAAGTACAATCCCGTTTACTTCTACAGATTTTCACATGAAGGTCCTTTATTTGGTGTTAGCAACAGAAATTTCCCCGGTAAGTAGGTACAGCAAATGAAACTGTTTTTTAAATACAACAGTATGACTTCAGAAATTGATAGTGTCCATTGTGGAGTCTACAAACTTGCAGATGCTTTTTACAAAACATCAGTTTTTTGACGTGGATTTTAACTAACTTTGCACGATCTTTACGTCACAATCATTGATTTCCTTCTAAATACAACTAGATATTTTTGTCCTCGCTAACGTAATGTCTATTTTATACATCCCACACCACAGCCAAACTCTTCGTGTACGTCCTTTTCTTGATTTTTAATAATAAAAAAAAAGAATTAAGCTGATAAGTTAGGTTAGGTCAGGTTAAGTTTTTTTTGTTATGTAAAACGTACCTACAAAAGTTATTTCCTGGTCTACGTTTTATGAGAAACGCGCAGGTGTGCAAGAAAATGCATATCTGTCCATAGATGCTAGTCAACTATAGAGGTGGAAGCCTTCGTCATCTAATAGATTCATATATGTGTTGGAAAAATTATAATGATCATATTTTGAGATGTCAGTAGCCATAAATAATTAATATATTTCCAAGAAATTATTGTGACTAGTATACTAGAGACATTAATTTATTAATGAGTACAGCTAGTCGGGGCTATGAGCTCCACCACTGCAACCTGTAAAGTTGGGTTGTGGTACATATTCTGTTCGTAGCTGTATAAAGACCATTGTATGTATACATATACATATGTATAACCATCGATTTGCTGCGTCTCTGTTGAAAGTACATTTTCAGACTATTTCTATATATTACAATCCCAGTATAGCTATTGTAGGGCTTCTCAAAGTTCGAGTCATCTAATCACTATTCCTATTTGAGCAAGACTTGCGAGTGTTTAAGTTGTGCTAGCTTATTTATTTATTTATTTAGGAAAACGGAACATAAACAGGCTGGCTAAGAGCCCAAAACAATGTTCACTAAATATAATTGATTAACAACCAAACCAAACATATATACACACCAGAGCTGGGTAATTACTTGTAATTTAAAAATAGTTACAATTACAAATTACTTTTTAAAAAAAGGAACTAATTACAATTACAAAGTATATTCTTTAAAAAAGGAATTATATTAATTTAATTACAGTTACATGGAAAATGGATTTAGCAATTACTTTTCTAATTACTTTTCTAATTTTACTTTTATGATAAAGTAAATTATAGTGACCAAACAGAGAAAAAGGAAAAAGTTAAGTTAAAAATTTAAATTAAAAGTGTTGTGTAATATTGCGTTTTATTATTTATTAGAATTGATACTAAAATGAAAAGATTATTCTTATTCATTTTCTAATATAGAGTTTTTATATTTTTATTCCTAATCTAATAATTTAAACTAGTTCAGTTCATACTATAATTTTATATTATTGGTCAGGTAATTAATTCAACCCGATGCTCTTTTTTTTGGTTGTTAGTACATTTGCAAAATATAGAATACAGTAGTTTTGGGTAGACTGGAAAGCAATAATTATTATTAAAAAAATTACGAATCAAACAAGTACGAGTGAAAGGCTGAGTAACCGAACCAGAAGTTTTCTCAACTCAAAATAAGAGCAGTAACACATAGATACATAATATATATTTTTATAAAACTTGATGCTATAGACAACATATTTTTACTTCGTATATTTTCTAAATTAATAATAATTATAATAAAATAAAATGTACTCTGTTAATTCTGAGGTTAATTCAAATCACTTATTATTGTTCACGCGGCACAAGGCTTTCCTCAACTGAAATAATAGAAGTCTGCAAGTCTGTACGCAATTACGCAATACGCATGAAAAGTAATTATAATTAATAGAAAAAGTAATTGTAATTGGAAAAAGTATTTGTACTTATAGAAGTAATTTGTAATTCGATAGTTCAAATAATATAATTACAAATTACAATTCCTATAACAATTTTGCTGCAATTACAATTTACTTTAATAAAAAAAAGTACTTAAATACAATTACAATTACAGGGAAAAAAAGGGAATTGTAATTGCTAATTACTTTTTCACCAGGAATTACCCAGCTCTGATACACACACATATATACATATATACACACATATATGCACACATATATGCACATACACACATGTACACATACACACATACACATGCATACACCCATATATATATATTACAGTATAATGTAACTATCTGTACTAACAGAATGTTGTTTGTTTTAATGCTCTCTTAAAGCTATAGTGATACTCTAAATATATCTACATTGGAAAATAAATTGTTGTAAGTTCTGAACATTCTGTTCAACGCCTTTTGTCCAGAGTTAGTGTGATAAAATGACTCTTGAAAAAATGTATTAACTCTAAAATTTCTGGGTGGTACATAAATATTTACAAGATTAATAAGTTAAGAGAGTCGATTAGATTATTCAGAAGTTTAAACAAAAATATTACGTCATTTTGATTTCTCTTATTTTCTAAAGATCCAATTTTAAATGTTTGTTGTAGAAAAGCCGAATTCTGGAAAGTATTTACCCCGGTCACTTTAAAATCCAGGTATCTAAGAAATTTGTTTTGAATAGCTTCAAGACGGGAGTTAGGAGTTATGAACCACATACTGGGGATTCCAAACGGTTGAAGCAAAATTTATTAAACTATAGACATAAGCAAAATATAAAGATTTTAAGGAATTTACCCTTCTAAAATCCTTAGATACTCTGATGATATACCGTAACATCTTACTACTTTTCAATGTAATGTAATCTATATGTGGGGAGAAAGTTAATTTTCTATCAAAAATAACACCTAGGTCTTTTATCTCTTGTAAGTAAGAAAGCCTTTCGTTATTGAAGTTATAGTCAAATCTAAATAAATTTTTATTGCTAGTAAAACAAATATAATGACATTTCTTGAAATTTAAATGAAGTTTATTCAGCAAACAGTAGCTATAAAATGTATCAAGATCATTTTGAAATAATGTACATTCCGCAAGGTTATTTATTTTAGAATATATCTTAAGATCACCTGCATACATTAAAAAATTACAAAATTTAAAACATTTATTTATATCGTTTATATAGATTAAGAATAATAATGGACCGAAGTGAGATCCTTGAGGCACTCCAGAAGTAGCTGTGAATGAAAAAGAGCGGTAACCATTAACTGTTACCAGCTGCGATCTATTGAAAATATATAATGTAAGCCATCTTAAAAAACTTCCATACACGCCGATCTCAACCAATTTAGCTATAAGAATGTTGTGGTTGATTTTATCAAACGCCTTGCTAAAATCGGTGTATACTGAATCTACTTGAATTTGACAATCCATGTAGTTATTAATATAGTTCGTATATTGTATTAGGTTCGATTCAATTGATCTTTGAGGGTAAAAACCGTGTTGTTGCAAAATTATTGAAGATTTAACTGCATTGAATAAGTGATCGTAACTCACCTTCTCTAGTACTTTACTAAAGATATTTAATTTACTGATAGGACGATAGTTTTTTACTAAGTTTCTTTCACCTATTTTGAAAATAGGTATCACAAAAGCTGCCTTCCACAATAATTGTGGAAATTCATCTTCTTCAAACGATTTATTAAATAAAATAGTTAGTGGTATATAAAGTGAATTGGCACATTTTTTTACAAAGAATGTAGGAATTCCATCCTTATTTTCGTCTAAGTTAACCAGAATATTCAGAACTTCATCATGATCGACTCTTATATACTACTTATATTACTATTATTTCCTGAGCTAAACTGTAAAAATATCTGATTATAAGGTTCATACGCAGTTTGGAAAAATGATGCAAACTGACTACAAATAGCGTTGCCATCTTTGGCACAGGTACCTATCGTTATACAACATGACATTTGGAATACCTGGCTGAGCTTTTTTTACTGAAGCATAGTGCCAAAACTTTTTTGCATTCTCAGGTATACTAACCTCAATAGCTCTTACATAGTTATTATAATCAGTCCTAATCATTTTTTTCGTTTTACGCCTTAAGTTGCAGAAATTACTATAAACAATCTCATTTTGATACACCTTCCACCTTGTATGAACCCTATTTTTTTCTTTAATAATTTTTATAGTATTATATCTAAAATAAGTAGGATATTTTCTATTTATTGTTATTTTAGGAACAAAATTTGCGATGGCAAAGTTTATCTTTTCATAAAAAAGTTGAACGGCTATTAGAATTAGAACCCCTCCACCATCAATTTTAAAGCTAGAGGAAATCTCCCGATCACGTCGATATACAGAGTAGTCACTAGTAAACAATTCGCTGTTACCGTTAGTACTATATTTTCTATGGCTGTTACTTACACTATTATTTAGCCATGTCTCGGTTACTAATAAATATTATGTCCGAATTACAATTAACAGCATTCAATTTAAAATCACGCGTTTTTGATCTTAACCCTCTACAATTTTGATATATAACAGAAAGATCCATAAAAACAACTCATACGTATTATTGAAAAGAGTTATTTAGTTTTACAGGGAGTTCAAGTGGTCAACACTTTTATGATCTTCACTCGTGATGTGTCGTCCTTACGTATAAAGATATTGCAGTTTTTCAGCCAAACGTATTTGTAACCTTTTTCTCTAGCAACTTCTCTGGCTCTCTTATATAATAATTTATTTTCAGTAGTTAGATGATCGTTTAAATATAAATTATTCGAGACGTTATCAATACACAGAGCTCGGTCTCCTTGGGCTGTTGGTTTCACAGTCAGATGGTTGAAAATTTTCTTCATATGGCTGCTTTAGAATGTTTTTCGTAGATAATATAGTGACAGATCAGTCTTTGAAGTTTAGATAATTCTAGTTCCTTCACTCCCTGATTTGTCCTTAGCTACCAAATTAGGGAGAATATGTAAAGATCGCTGCCGTATATATAGCCTTAGTGTACCATACGTGGATTTAATACCCAGATTATTCCTACTGCTGCTTGGCCGCTACTAAAACATGTTGCCCTCGATTTATGGTCTCTATATTCTAAGTTAGTTCGGCATCTACAATTGCCCTTAGATATTTTAGCTCGTAGGTAATTAAAACATTTGGAATCTTGAGTCCCTAATACTCCAATTTTGTGATATCCATAAGCGTGTTTTTTATGGTTTGCCCTTAGGACTTCCTTTCTACACCGTTCTGTCAGAATATCCAGAGCATGTTGCATGAGGTCTTGTACAGCTTCAGCGTATTTCCTCTTTATGAGGACGACTATACTCCATTTAAGACGTTTTTAAAATGACAACTTATGGTCGCAAAAAGCCTAGGTGTTAGGGAAACTACGTAAAAAATGTGACAAAAACGATGTCTTTAAGTACCCTTGAACAAAGTTATTAAACATTTCCTGCTGTTATTTATTGACTTGCATTGTATTTGTTAATTATAAAAGTAGAAGGAATTATTGTAACTTTATATATAAATTTATATTTTAGGAGTGGGGCATACAGAAGATTTGGGATACATATTCGACTATGGATACCAAGGGTCGGAGGTGGATTACCTAGTTAGATCGCAGATGGTCAAATTATGGACCAATTTCGCTAAAACCGGAAATCCAACACCTGAATATGACCCACTTTTGCAAGGAATTCAATGGCCATTACTTACTGAAAACAACCTGGACTATTTGGAAATAGATAGAGGCCTTCAAGCACTGACAAAGCCAGACTTCCTCACTTCTTCTTTCTGGAAGACCCTCTATAACAGAAACGGCAACCCTCCATACGGCACTTACTAAACAAGACATAAAATTGCTAATGTTTATATTTGGAACCAGTACCTATATGTATATGCATATACAGAGAAAATGTAATTATAAAGTGATAATAACTTTAAATGTTACCATAATCAAGAAACTCCATAATAACGATTTAAGTATCTGTTTCTTATTCCTATACAGAATGATAAAATGAAAATAAATGTAACAAATAAATATTTGCATAAACTAACAATGTTTAAATTTTTATAATAAAATTCTTTTTATAATGTTTTTCTTGCTTAAACACAAAAAAGTCACATATTTAATACATTAATTTTAAACTTCAATAGCTGTTTTACATTGACAATTTATTGATTAATTAATTCATGAAGTCGCTTCCTCAAGAAATTGGACAAGTGTTCTGTGTAATGCACCAAATCTGCTGTCAAATAACTTCATGAATTTATTCACAATGTTCTTGACGAATTAGAGCATATATGTTCTAATTTTCGTCAATTTCTTCGTGAAGTTCGGAAGTACCAACCCAACAGATTTCCAGCCTCAGATCAGTAATTTAGGCTGCATAGCCACACTACCCTACCCAACCATAAACATGACACCACCCCCAGGGTTTACACAAACGAGACGGCGAAGCAAGAAGAGCGCCAGAAGAAAGTGCCCTAGCCAGCGGGGCCCAGCCAGGACAAAAGGAGGTCCCACAAAGCGCCTACACCGGCCGCATTTGCGGTCGGGGTAGACGAGGATGGGGGCCACCTACGAAGGCTGTCCAGGCCTACACGAGATGAGGCAGGATAAAGAGGGATAATCCCCCTCGATCCCAAATCATTGAGGCCAATTTCTAGCCATAGAATAATGGCGGCG